CTCTCTCACTCACTCTTAAGTAATCCCTTTTGATTGTGACCTAATTCAGAATTTTGTGAATGTGCTGCAGAGTGTGGGGGGATGTTAAAGTGATGTTGTCCCATGAGCCAAGATATGCATAAGAGCAGCTTTGGCTCAACTCCATTGAACGCATCTTTTGTAAATTTGCTCAGTTTGGGGGTCAGCTGTATTCGGGTATATCCAGGATTATCTGAAGTGTAGGTTGAGGCAAAACAAAAACATAAAAAACCACATTTAGAGGGGTTTCATTCACACGCCAGGTTGTGCTTTACCTCAGCTCTGCTGGGACAAATGACTGTTTAGTATGGTTTTTGAGGCTTTGTGTCACTTTTAGCTTAGAAATGATTGTTTTTTAAATTCCAGGTAACATCTTGAATATGCTGTAACACTTGTGGAGTTCCTGTGCTTTGTTTTAATAGAGTAAGGGAGTCTTAAATCAGGAAAAGACCTCTTATATTTATTGTTTGATTTATCGTACTTAAAGAAGGTTTTACAAGTTTTTAAATTGCCACTGCAGCTTGGCACATTAGTAAGTTTGCAGGGTTTTATTGCAACATTGATGTGTTATGATGGGTGCAGTCATGTTGATTGTGTTCTGTCACTGTCAGAGCACGCTCCCTGTATTTTACAGTCTGATTTTTAAAGGCACGGTCACTGTGATGCATTTTAATGACTGCACAGAATTACTGTGCAATAAAAAGTTCACTGCAAAGATTGTGTAAAATGACCCCCATCAAAAAGTATAACCAGCTAGAAGATGATGAGAAGGATTTCAGAGGTCTGCAATACAGTTCATGTGTGTCCTTGACTTTGATCTCCTACTTTTAGAGCAGATCAGGTAAAGGGTTTTCAAGATATCAAACCAGGATTTGCATAGTTCTGCTGCCTTTAAGCCGTTGAACTGTTGAATAAGATATAACAAGACCTGGCTTTATCTGAGTGTAAATTCAGTATGACTGTACACTTGATGGTTAGTACTAATGCAAAGCTGTAGTATAAATGAAAATATTCATGTTTATGCAGAGCAAAAAACACGATCCTTTTCATTGTCAAGAAATCTATCACTATTTTTTTTAAGTCTATAAAATATAAAAAGTAGTAATTACAGTCCATGTATTCAGCATATCCATCCCATAATATCATCAATTTTCTTAATTTGCTTTCCAGTTTGGAATCATAGGGGGCCAGAGCCTGTCCCAGCTGTCACTGAGCGAAAGGCAGGGTACCACTCTGGGCAGGTCAAAGCTAAAACGACTGGCATGTTGAGCATGCCACCTTCAATAGGTTGAATCCAAAACGCCTGTTATACAATGAACGGCAACGGCAGACATTCACACAAACAACTGCTGTATTGAAATATAAAATGTTTGCTTTACTTTCAGTAAACTCATTAGAGCAGTTTAGGGGATTGAACTGCTCATCTGAATGTGAGCTGCACACTGAGGATTACAAAAGTGCTGTGCACATTAAACTGTGTTCTGGGGCCTTGTTTTGTTGAATTTAAAATCTACTTCATATTGAATTGAGTCCTTCTACAGGGCAGTGGGCAAAGGTTCTGAGAAAGATGGCCATATTACAGCATCCGTGGTTCAACTATCTCGAGTGTGGCGACACCTCTACAGCAGGTTCTCTCTAATAGCTCTATATTTCATTGAGGAAAACACCCTGTCAAAACTGACATGATGTATGACAATGACTCTTTTCACCCTTACCTTGTCCCTCTTACACTCCCATCCTCACTAATGCCTTTCGCTTCCTCTCTCCTTCTCTCCCTTTCTGTAGTTTGACAAAGCATATGCCTACAGCATCCGCCACATGTTTGGCAAAGAAGGAAAGCGAACAGACTACACCCCCTACAGTTGCATGAAGGTGATTTTATCAAACCCACCCAGCCAAGGAGACCATCATGGTGAGTCGACGGCTGTTGGAAGAAGTGGTTGGCTTGGAAACAGTAACACATTTTGCTATGTGTTCGCTAAATCTGTGCAAATCTGCAGTTATAGTTTAATGTGCTTTCATGCTCCTTTATTTTCTTCCAACTGTTGAAATTCTTTATTTGCATTTTTTCCCTTTAAATAAAATCCCGTCTTATCTTTGTAGGATGTCCATTCCGTCACAGCGACCCGGAGCTGCTGAAGCAGAAGCTTCAAGTGTACAAAGTGTCTCCCAGTGGAATCAATCAGGTGGGTGCCATCTGTCCACAGTCGGTTTGTCAAATGGTTGAACAGCCCTCTAGCCACAGTTCCCTTCTCTGACTGGAGACGGCATGTGGGTTATGTTTCTTCTTCAGTCTCACAAAACTCAGCCAGCAAT